CAACAATACTACAGCGAGAATAAAAGTTATGCCTTCTTTCTTTGCGTGAACATTTGGGCGTTGTTATGCAAATCTTCCCACATAGTGATGTAGGTATGTGGGGGCGTGTTAGAACGAGCCGTTTTAGGTAGGTGTGGTTGACTCTGAACTTTTATAAAGAATATCTCTTTGGATTTGAGGCTTTAGTCTTTGCAACTTTACAGATCTTCTTTATGCACCAAGAGCTTGTAACACTCCAAAGAGAAAGGAAAAATTTAAATCGCATCATATGACCCCTTTAAAATCCTTGCCATATTTGTTCAGGACTGTTTTGGCTTGTAAACGATGCTTGATATTTGCATATTTCTCTCCTGATTCAGACGAGACGACTTTTTCGCAGGAGGAAGCATTAATTATGGATTATGGACTTGTATTTTGGCCAGAAGCAACAGTTTAAAGTTAAAATGCCTTAAAGGTGCTGTATGTAGGATTGACTAGTGGTTGAACTAGGTATTGCAGTCCAAATAAAAAATATTGGAGAGGGTTTTTTTCACCCGGCCCCTCCTCCTCAGACTTGAGGCACACGCAGGTTGCCAGATTGACGACACCAACAGGAACGAGCACATTTGACGATGAATGAAATGAAATTTGCTGTGTTTTCCGCCAACTGGCAACCCGGGGTGCCGAAATACAATTGGGTAAACTGGCAGTGGGCGGGTTTCACAAACCAAAACAGAGACCGACATTCCGGCCCGGAACGCATATTTTCAAAGGAGAATAACTGACTGTAGCACTGTTTTTCAGATAAACAAGTATGTTAACTTAGCATGTTTCTTAAATATCTGCAAACATATTATGGTATTTTTATACTTCAGTAGAGTCAAAAACTTACAGCACCTTTAATGCTTTATTTGTTTCTTAGAAAAACACAGCTTTTCACTTCACAAGATGTTAACTGATGGACTGGAGTGGTGTGGATTAGTTGTGGATGATTGTGATGTTTTTATCAGCTGTTTGGACTCTCATTCTGACGGCACCCATTCACTGCAGAGGATCCATTGCTGAGCAAGTGATGCAATGCTTCATTTATTCAAATCTGATCTAATGAAGAAACAAACTCATCTACATCATGGATGGCCTGAGGGTAAGGGTTATTTTTGGGTGAACTGTTCCTTTAATGTCTGTCCATGGTCATTTCTCTCTGTTTATTATGCTATCATTTCTTAGTCATATTTTCAGGATTGGCTACTTATGTGTTCATTTGTTCGTGTTCTTTGTACCCAGGCCGTACGTCCTTGAAGTGGCCAAACACTACCAGCATGGTATGACAACTTCTGGGCTTTTTTTCCCCTCTAGCTTTATTACATTAACAAAAAATGCCATCATTTTCCTTATGAATATAGTCAATCCAAGACCCAGAAGTATTCCCATGACTGCTATTAATAAAACCCTGAAGTCGAGACTACAGAGCATTGTGAAAAGGGTGAGACGTTCGACTCAGTCCGCAGTCTCTAATACTGAAACTGCAAAACAAATTCACAGTACCTCGATGACAAAGTGTGAACATTGCTCTCTTGTGTCTGCTCTTATTGCAGATTGAAAGATTAGAAGAACTGTTGCCTTAAATCAAACTGAAACACCATGAAAGACTGACAGAGGTGAACTTCTGATCTGATGCTATGTTAAACTCGGTCTTCTTTCCTGCTTTGATGTTTTTCCCGTTGAAACAGAATGTTGCTCACTCATTTTGAATATATGCTAATAACAAAACTCTAATTAAATCATGGTAAATAATTTCATGACTTTTATTGCAGGATATTGAGTTACTGAATCAAAAGCTGGTGTTTCTTCACAAACGAATGCAGGTAAAATGTTATTCCTCATTTGAAGCTGTGTGACTATTATCAAGATGTCAAAATAAGCATTACTAAACTAATCTATATCAACAATGTAATCGATTTCACATATAAGGGATTGTCATGTGATTATTATTTGCCATAATGTAATCTCAGTGTCTATTTGTTTCAGATGGAGTTGTATAAGTAACTCAATAAATCATGTATTTTGTCTGTGTAGTCAGGTTTAAAATGCAAAAGGGTGAGACGTTCGACTCAGTCCGCAGTCTCTAATACTGAAACTGCAAAACAAATTCACAGTACCTCGATGACAAAGTGTGAACATTGCTCTCTTGTGTCTGCTCTTATTGCAGATTGAAAGATTAGAAGAACTGTTGCCTTAAATCAAACTGAAACACCATGAAAGACTGACAGAGGTGAACTTCTGATCTGATGCTATGTTAAACTCGGTCTTCTTTCCTGCTTTGATGTTTTTCCCGTTGAAACAGAATGTTGCTCACTCATTTTGAATATATGCTAATAACAAAACTCTAATTAAATCATGGTAAATAATTTCATGACTTTTATTGCAGGATATTGAGTTACTGAATCAAAAGCTGGTGTTTCTTCACAAACGAATGCAGGTAAAATGTTATTCCTCATTTGAAGCTGTGTGACTATTATCAAGATGTCAAAATAAGCATTACTAATCTATATCAACAATGTAATCTATTTCACATATAAGGGAATGTCATGTGATTATTATTTGCCATAATGTAATCTCAGTGTCTATTTGTTTCAGATGGAGTTGTATAAGTAACTCAATAAATCATGTATTTTGTCTGTGTAGTCAGGTTTAAAATGCACGAATGCATGATTTCATTATATACGTCTATCTACAGATAAATGCTGCATGAGATTTTCTCTTTTTTCTTTTGTTGATCAAAAATGGCCTTAGACCAGAACATGTTTATTTCGTTTTATTTCACAACTTTCAGGAATGTGTACTCACTTTTTGCAACATTTTATCACTTTGATAAGCAAAAAAAA